TCATCATATAGTATAAATATAAACAGGAAGTATAACTATAAACCAGAAATATAAATATAATTAAATGTATAAGTAGGTGAATAATATATAATGTGCAAGTATAGTTGTATTTCATATATAAAATATATGAATATGTATGTATTTTCCTTTAACAGATGAAGAACTGGAAGAGAAGATACTTTCAGTTAGATGAAAACACAATAGGATATTTCAAGTCTGAACTGGTAAGTTTCAAAATGTGTGTTATTTTCCAGTGATAGTTGCAAGAAAATCTAAAGAAATACACTTGTATCTGATAAATGTGCTGTGCTGCTCCTGCAACTCTTAGCTCTGTACTGTAATAACTTTTTATAAGTAATTATAAAAGCTTTTCATGATCAGGAAGAACAAAAAAATAGGGTTGCTGTTAACATCATGACTTCAGTCTTCTGTTTGAGAGCCAGTCTGTAGGGCACTGCAGAACAGTAATAAGGTGTACTCTAGAATTCCCCTGATTTTTGTGTTAGTATCTTGTGTCACTTTGTACTCGGATATAATTGTGTTCTTGAAACAGCTGATCGTTATGTGGACAGACAAAACTGTAATCTTGCAATTCTTCATTTAAAGTTAGGATTATGGAGTGTTTTATCATACAAATGATGGGATCTTTCCCCACGCACTTCTTTCACCAGGGCAGCCAAGACAGGCAAAGAACTCCGCTGTTTAGAAAGCAATGTTTACAGAGTTTGTTTTGTTTTCATGGTCTTTCTTCCCCACTCATCGCTCATGAACCTCTTGACCAGTTTTGACCAAATGTTAAGTGCTTTCAGACTTCATTTAAAAATGAAGTGGCTGGTACTTGGGACAGTCTGTTTTCCCCAAAAAGAAATCCCACACTTACTGAACATGAGAACATCTATACATGAGGACTACAGTTGAGTTGTAGAGTATTGTAAATCAAGGAAAATTGAGTTTACAGGCCAACTTAAGATGCAAAATGTCAAGAAGCCAAATTTCAGGCTGTTTTTGAAGAGAACTTTTGCTTTACTTTTAATAAAGGAGTACAACAGTAGCAGGAGTTTGATCTTGCATCGTTGTCTTTGTTAAACTGTCAGCGTTAACACAATTCTGACACATTGCCTATAATAAACCTTCTATTTTCATTTTAAAATAAGTGCAGATTGCTCACAAATTCTAACTCGGTGAAGAGTTGTACTGTGAGAGAGTATACAAGAAAGCTGGTAGAAATGCATACACTTTTAGTGTTTTATCATGCTCCTTTCCAGTTTATTTGAAATGAACAATATAAAATCTTGTAGTGTCCTTTATTCTTCCGACTAATATCCCGTTGCTGGAGTTTGAGGAAGGTACTGGACTGATCAGCTGTCAGACAACAGGGAAGTAGATTTTGCTTCACAATTTTTACTGAAAGCAGGTTGCTCTTCCATTTTAAGAGTCATCCCTCTTCAGGGAAGCAAGTACTAAATAGGTATAGAATATAGTGTCCTTTTATTGGACTATAGTGGTTAATCAAAGAACTTCATGGTTAGAAAATGTAATCATGATAATCATGTTTTGTATAGTTTTTTAAACAATTAGGATCTGCCTAGTCTGCAATATACATGTTGGAGAGACATTTAACCTGTGCTGGAAAGAGCAAAATTTTCACAGAGCGCAGCCCACGAAGAAGAGAACACCTGCAACAACTTAACCATATATCCATCAGACTTTTATTTATCTCCTACAAACACAAAAAGGATAAAGTGCTCTCTTCTGAAGATTTCAAGTGGTGAATTGTTTCTTTCAGCAATATGTGGGATCTCCTGCTCTTAATGAGAGTAACATAAAGATAGGAAAAAAGTTCAATAGCTATTGTTTGTTCTGCCTTTGTGGTTAAGACGACTGTGGCATGGAGGTCATATTCAGCCAGCATCAGACTTCTAATTCTGGCAAACATCCTTCTACTGGACTTCAGTTCCCTGTAGCTGCAGTCTTCAGTCAAGTATGGCTCTTACTTGAGGTTAGTTTGTCTTGGCAGCCAGCTGCTCACCAGTTCTTCAAGTGACTCTTACGGCATATCTCAAGGAGCTGTTGTTTTGCATCTGTAGGGTTCTCTGCTCTTGGAAATGTAAAAAATGTTGGGTTTTTTTAATTGAAAAATGTGTCGATTCTGGGGATTTTTTTGTTGCGGTTGTTTGGTGGTGGATGTGTGTGTCCCCTGTTCCCTCCACCTCAATGGTTTCCTATTTTCAATTTGAGGAGGAGCCCATGTCAGTCTTCAGGTGGGGCAGAGTGGAATACAAGCAATATCAGACTTGGAAAATTATAATTTCTGAGCTGGAACAGATGTCTGTATTCCAGGGATGATCTTGCAGTTCACATTTGATGTATTACTTTGAAAACTCTGTTGTAACGGATGAGGGAACCTAGGAAGGAGCAGGGAGGGGAGACAGGGAAAGAAGGGCAAAATAATTGAAGACATGGAGTTTTAAACTCTGTACATTTGATCTTCTGTAGAGACAAGTGATGTAATGAAAATTGACACTTGAGGATGATTATATTTGGGTGACATTGGCTGTTTGCTATAACAACACAAATCTTTTACAAGTATGTGCAATAGAAATTGTTGAGAAAGTAGTCATTCCAGAGCTGACAGCTTTTGTTTTGTCTGTAAGCTGAAGCCAACTGAAGTAGTCCATTGTAACACTGCTTAAAGAAAACACATTAGGAGGTAAAATAAGTGGTTGCTTGTTTGTGTTTTACTGCAACAACCACAGGAAAATAATAGTATATATGACATTATGTTGTCATGGCAAAAGTGAAAGTATTTTTGTTGAATGTTCTCACGTCTTTTCCTGTTGTGTGAAACTTGGACAGAATTGTCACTTATTTTTGTTAGGGTAACAGAATTTTCATACACTTTATGAATACTTGTTCTTTTACAGGTTTTGGTACAATTGATTTCTTTGTATAATTTTTAATTGTATTGAGTATAGGATAGAATCTTATTTATAGCCATGTCATGCAATACAGTTAGCAAAGCATCTTGTAGCATTTCATAGCAAATGAATATAATCATGATTTTACTGAAATAAGCTGCTTGAGGCCAGATTCAGTTTTCTGATCTAGTTAGGGGAAGGGGACAAGGATGGTTGTCTCCATTATGGTAAGGCGAATGAATGTTTTCGGTGGCTTTACTTCTTGATCTTTGCCTCCCCTTCAATGCAAGTGCCATGGTTCATTCAATATTTACAGAAGCAAATTAAATTTTGCTTGACATTACCTTTTGCATAAGTGATTGCCTTGAAAGTATCTCAGAAGTCTGCTGCTGTCAACTGTCCTGACTTCTGGCTTTTTGACTATGTTCAAGTTGCTAGATATACTCTACTGAAATATTTTTGCCTTTTTTTTTTTCTTCCTTCCCCAGGAAAAGGAACCTCTCAGGGTTATACCACTTAAGGAGGTCCATAAGGTTCAGGAATGCAAACAAAGGTGAGGAGGGAAGTCTTGATGTGATTACATGGGATGTAGTACACCGCCTTGTCATGGCGAGACTGCTCATTGGAAACAATGGAGAACTTTGGTTGATGTACACGTGTGATCCTCCACTTATAGGACAGCAAAGTGTACAAACAGTTTTGTACTTAAAACTGGTTTTGAGGGTTCTACATTAGCGTGTGTTCCAAAGTCGTAACATTCAGTAGAATGTAAATGCATTGGACAAGGGTGGAACAAAGGAGTATCATGCAATCATGAGTTAGAGATGCATGGGCGCTGTCTGATTTGAGGTAGCAATTTTAGGAGTCTCTATTCTGCTTGTATAATCTCTAAACCTTAGAGGACATTAGCTTATGTTAAATGTCTGAATTTAGATGAGAACACTCTTCCTCCTGCTGTTTCCCTCTTACCAAATGGCAATATACTAACGAGTTAATTGCCTTTGTGGTAGTTTGTTGTGGGTTTCTGGGGTTTTCTAGCAGGCTACTGTTTAGGACTAATATTTTGTGAAGACATAACAAAACATAAATGATATTTTACAGAAAGTTGACTAGAACAATAAATATTTCAGACTTAACATGATACATATATAGTAGCATGCATGCCACTGATAAACTAGAGAGCCTTAGGCCTAAAATAAGTAAGAGAGATGCTGGTTTTCTTTTTCTACTTGGTATTTACCACAAAAAAACCCAAACAAACCAGTAGAGTGATAAAGAAATGCAAAGGTCTTCAGACAACAAATGCTCTGGTTCTCTGCCTCTCTGCATCCTTGAGTCTTTTTAAAATAGAAAGTTGTACTTGCTGTTGAAGTATTTTTGTGTTTCATTTACAGCGATATAATGATGAGAGACAATCTCTTTGAAATTGTAACAACTTCTCGAACCTTTTATGTACAGGTAATTTCTCCTTTTTAAACTTTGGGCAAAACCAGGAGACTGCCATAGTCAAAGCAAAGCAACACTGCTGTTTTTCTTTTTAAATTGTATTTAACTATGCTATTATTTTCAGAGAGTGTGATCTTCATTATGTTTCAGAAAGATGCAGATAAGAAATGTGCCACGTAACGGCAATTGTTATGTTGGTAGTGTATGAAAGCAATAAACAATAAATCCTAAGGTGATCTTGTTGGCATTCAGGTCTCCAAATTCTGTAGGATCAACTCAATATTTTAAATCTTTTATTTTGAAGTACTGAATTCTTATGTATAGTAATTGAGTTCTCAGATTCAAGTTAGTTGCCACATTAAAATAGCTACTAAAGCACAGCAATGTTTAGATTGCAGTACCTATTTGGTAATATGTATCCATATCCACTTTATTCACTGCATCCTTACCATGTTATCCTTTAAATGTTCAGATAGAATGCAAATCACAAAGACTTGCTTCTTCTAGCTCTATGGTAAGGTGATGCTTATGGTCCTGGAAATAACTTTTGAGTTTCTCTTGTAGGATCAGAAAGGCCTGTATAACCTAATACAGGTAGTGGTGCTAGGTGCTGAGTTGTGAGCTGTCCTGTAGCTGAACATAATTAAGTGACATGTTGCAGTTGTTTCTTGCTGGGTAGATGTGGTAGTTTAATAAACTTGCAACCTAATCAGGAGATAGTTTTAGCTTTTTATCTGTCTTTATCCCAGGTATGTACACCATTGGTATTCACTGCTAATCTGTTGCATTGTTGTTCTAAGTAAATGTGCAGCTGATCCCCGACAGAGACTGATTTTTATTTTACTGTAACTCTTCAGTAAACACCTCATAGAAGTATAAAGTGCAGCAGTGACTGAAGAGAACAGAAGTTATGTTGTTGGCCAAAGTCTGCTAAGAGGGGTCAGCAGATGTCCTGTAAGAATTTCTGTGGGTGCTCTAGTTTTTTGTTTGCTGAAAGTAAAAATTTGAGTCTGGAGTATGCAATTAGTATAAAATCACTTATTTCTTGCTTATTTTATATAACTCTGTACATACAAGAGTAAATTCAGGGTAAGATTTTAAGAAATGTCTGGTTAAGAAATGGAAGTCCCTAAGGCTTTAAATAACAGACTACTAAAGCAGGGTAAGGCTGTCATATTAATGCAGGTGGTCAGGACACTGGGAAAGTTGAGTTGATGACATTACATATAATGCATATTGTTTGATCCAGGCGGACAGTCCAGAAGACATGCACAGTTGGATAAAAGCAATTTCTGGGGCCATTGTAGCACAGCGGGGACCTGGAAGATCAGCAGCTTCCGTATGTTGTTCTGAACCTCAGAGAAAATGTGATTAGTTGATGCTCACTTGTACACATGAAGTTCTAGCTGATTTTTTCCTTTCGCCTGTCCTCTATCCTGCCCTGTAGTTATATGGCATCTTTGCATGAACTTTTGTACAGATTGGCATAAAATATTTTTTGCATTTAATTGAGCACTTATCTTAGTCTTACATGTATGTAACTTTGTGCATTGTATTGTCTTGAACATGTAGATGATGCAAGTGCTAACCTAGAAAAATTCTTCTGAGTTCAGTATGATCTTTGTCACTATGCTGCTACTAGTTTGGAGGTAAAATTGAAACTTTAATTCCTGCGAGGTGTTTCTGCGAATTGCTGAATTTTGCAATCAAATGACAATATCTGAATTTGTTTTTAACAACTCTCCCTACTAAATTGTCATTCTCTATTGTTGACAGTTTATTGTATATGCAGACACAGATTAAAATTTAAAGTAACTTCTCGCATGAATTAGTTTTTGCTGTTGGAAACGTAGTGTGAACACCATCTAGCATTACTGAACTGCGGCACTGTGACAAGTGTTAATATTTGTGAAGCCACGTGGATGCCAACACATCATACGTACTTATATTTAAACTGTATTACATGTTCAGTACAAAGTACGTTACAGTAGCCTTCGCTATTCACAACTTAGTGTCACAGTGTCTCCAAGTATGTCCAGATTTAATAAATGGAATACTTCACAGTTCAGATATTGCAAGCTATGGTTTTCACTTTCTGGCTATGGGATGTTTTGTGATAAGCTGAATATGTCATTACCCCCATAATCTGAAATCTAATAATTTATATCTGGCATTTGACCGCCCATTTGCATTGATACTGTGTTTCTGTTAACTCAGTCTAAGCTCTCAATTATTTTTTGCAGCTGGGAGCTGCTTCATGCTTTTAAATAAATCCTGTCATAAATTTTGTTTCTTTTGGGGGGAATGAAAATATGCAGATAACTTTTTTTCTTTGTGTATGCTATCTTTTGTGGGGCTAACTGAGCAATCTAGCTATTACTGTCTGCATCACTTCTTTCTTTTTCCCTCTCTTCTCTTCTTTCCCCAAGTATAGGTTACTCTAATCTTAGCTTTGCACTGTGTTCCAGATGCGGCAGGCCAGAAGGCTGTCGAATCCTTGTATACAGAGGTATACATCAAGAACTGGTGAATGCAGCACGTATGTGGGCTCTCATGTAAACTTGCCCTCTTAACAGAGGGCTAGGTCTAGAGACTAATTTGCACTATAAAAAACTAAAAATAATGCTACCTGTTGTCATTATCATTACTGAAAACTAACTCATAAATTATATCATTCACTTACAGGTTTGCTGTAAAAACTTACTGTTTTTTCTTTTAAAATAATTGGAAACTAAAAATGGCAAAAACATGTATTTATACTTCAAAGCATACTATATATTTAAATGTAAGTTATGTGATGTCACTTTAATGGGAAAGTATTAAAACTAATTTGCATGAGAGTTCATATTTCCATTTTACTTTACATTTTTTTGAAACTGTGCAAAAGCAAAATTAAACTTAAGCTACCCACAAACTAATACAGATGCGTGCACACAAAAAATGCACGTCATAACTGTAGTAATTGGAAGTATAATATTGTAGCCTGATTTGCATGGCTTATAAGTCTCTGCATGAAATTACTAGTTCAAACATAGAAGCATTATAATGTATAATCGGTACACTGTTCAAAGCAGTACACCTTAGGAGTAATACAGCAGCATATTCTCCTAACTGTGAAATTACAGTCAGTGTGGGTAGTAAAATCTGAGTATCCTTCAGTTCAGTTTAGCAGAAAGTTTATTATAGAGATCTTGTCCTAATATCCCTTACTTCTGTCCTCTTTGTTAAACTAAAATTATTAATAATGAGAAGAATAGTAGGCACATCACTGAATCATGTTCTCCTAAAGCACATGTTTTTCTGAAAGTGGAGTATCAAGTCAGGTATGAAATAAGGCAATGTAAATAACATGAAATACGTTGCTGCAATTGAACGCAATACTGAAATCCAAAAAAGTTGCACGACACTTTTACCCAATAATACTGGTTTATTTATAAAAAGAAATACAGTAGTATTTGGCAGAACCCATTATGATTAAACTTATGAATTCATGTCATGGCAATCTAAAAGAAACTTGGAAAACTGCTATGAAAAAATCAGTATTTCATTTAGGATGTATATTTGCATCTTGGACACACATCTGTGATGGGGTTTTTTTTGCTAACAAATGTGCTTGAAAAGTGACCTGATTTGTGTACACACATGGGTTGGCAAATTCCTTTAGCTCACGTACTAACTATTGATGATGGCAGGAGTGGCAGCAGCTCCTAATGCACGCAGAGGGAAGTATTAACTCCTTCATTGCTCATCATTCTGATCATATCATTTAAGACTGCAACCAGCTCTGTTTTAGGTATCCGTAGGTATTTGAGACACCCTTACAGAACTGATAGATACAACGCAGAACCTGAGGGATTTTTTTGATCTGGAGATAGAGCTGTAGGGGACAGGCAGGATATCCTAGGACATGTAAAATGCCACTCTGTGCCTATGCTTTAGACATCTAAATCATACCGAGGTAGTCTGGGAACTTGTTCCTATCAGTAAGTAAATGGTGGGAGATTATTTTCACAGTATAAATCTAATAGAGTTATGTAAAGGTCAACAAAATGGCTGTTAATGACAAATAAACACAAGCAAGTAACTTGACAATTAGAAGGAATAGCTTAAAGATCAGTTTCTTCTCTAGGTCTGTTGACTTGGAGATTGTTACAGAGTCTTGATAGCATAAAATAGTTACTATTTTTGGTCCCTGGAACAAATTGGGGAGATTGGTACCCCAAGAGGAGGGAACAGTAAAAAGTGCATTACTTCAGGATTAGGATATGAGTGCCTGATGTATATGAACATATTTGAATGCATTTTTCTCTTGGAAGGATATCACTTTCAATGGCCTTCAAAGTGTGTATCTTCAAAAGGTTACTGAACATCTTAGTAAAATGAGGAGCCTCAATTTGCTGGACTGTATTAAAAAGTCTAAAGAGCTGCTCAGCTTGACTTGAGAAATTGAATGTCTTCAAATGATGACACTGGTGTTGCTGTCACATACTGCTGTAAGCTCACATTTAATAATACACGGCCTTGAGAAAGCACCTGCCTCCTGCTGCTGTGGCTGATGCTTTGCTTTGTGTATTTTCTCTGTTGATTTTTTTTTTCCTGAGAGTGAAATCTGAAATTGCATCTTTTCAACAAGACATCAATGACTTCACCTGACATGTGCCCCTCTTTTCCAGGAGCATACCGAGTCTTCTTCCGAACCCAACCATGCTCTCCGTTCTGCCGTCCCAGCCCCAGCCACCTCACATTCCACAGCCGCTCACGGCAGCCCTCTGGTCCCAAACCCTCACGCCAAATACCCTGCCTTGGAGAAGCGAGGATTTCACGAATCTTTTACCAAGGCCAAGCCAGGGAGCCACAAGATCCAGGTTGTCGCTCCAAGAGAATCAACTTCCAAAGTGACTGAACGGGGTCTCTTGGAACCCCAAAGTAAAAATGGCACTCAGGAACAGGATCCTGGCCTTGTGGATCTGGATGATGCAAGCCTTCCAGTTAGTGATGTGTAGTGATGGAAGTGTTTGGAGAATGATCCATTTGTTCGGTCCTTTAATTTCCTTGCTCGGACTTTTAACCAAAGAAAATTATAGGAAATGAGAACAAAAAACCGGAACACTGATTTTTATATATATGTATGTGTGTGTTTCTGTGCACACATGTGTATATATAACGTGTTTGTGTATTGCCTTTCAGCCGAGGGTCAGAAATGGACCTTACGCATTCTCTCAAAGCCTGATAGTAAATCACTTACTAGGGAGGGGCCAAACTGCACAATTTAGAAGGAAAAAAACCCAAAAGACAAAAACAAAATCGTACTTTTGCAAGTAAGCAAGGTAGCAGCAACTTTTCATTCCTAATCTGGCAAATCTAAATTTACAACTAATGCTATATTGTGGACAACTTATTGCCAACAAATGTGATTATTTAATTTCATTTTGAACTACAGTAAGATTTTAGGCATAGATGAGAATTGTTTCTCTCCATGACTTTCAGATACCAGGAAATGCACAAAATGTTTTTTTCTGTTCTTTAGGATCAACAGTGTCAACTGATTAGTTATCAGAACAAGAATTCTGAACTCCCTTGGAATTCTAATTATGGTGCTGTAAAATTTCCACTAAAATAGTATTTTGAATAGTCAGCCTATTTTTTGATGCACTCCTAAAGGTGGGTTGTAACTTTTTGCACATTTGGATTTTAATGGACTGCATGTAACGGTGTTTTGGAGGGGGGGAGAAGAGAAATTGGACTTTTCAATTTGGACACTTTAGATCTTTTGAACTAGGTAGGGTTTATATTGTGTTACATTAGGCTTTGCAGCAATTATTTTTCTTAAACATCTAAGCATATCGTTTGATGACTGTTTTGAGAATGGTTTTCTTATCAGTGCTTTGTGAGCAGTTCTTGTTTCTGTATTGATCAGTGGAAGACCTCCTCGTTCAGTTTTGTCATTATTGGTACTGAACTGTTCATAGTCATGGGATTGTGGCCTATAACTTTTGGTGCACTAAATCTTAAGTGCCTGTGTGTTTTCTCACATTGTTGAAACATTTTTGGATTAGTTATGTACACAAACCATTCCCAATGGTTTTGAACGTTGGCTTGGAGTCGCTCTGAATAGCGTAGTTCGAAACAGCTATTTAAAATGGAAAACTTATGCTAGGGATACCAGTGTTCTGGTATTGCACCTACTAGCTGTGCAATGTATGTTTTTAAAAAAATGAGTATTTGTTGTTTGTGTACACTGTGTTATGGGGCTTCAGTGATGCAAATGAAAAGAACCTTTACATTTCAAATATTGGATTAGATTGAGTGTGTACTTTTCATTGTTTTTGAGAAATGTTTGCTTTAATCAAAACCCCACAAATATCTCATGCTGCTGCTTATTGTGATTAAGATTGTCCGGCTCTGTGATACTTTTTGTCTACTGGAACCTAAGATACATATCATACAAGTCCATCTTCTCTCCAACTTCCAAACTGACTGCCTGCTTGAGAGATATGGATGGCTTTACCACAATAATTTGTTGATCCAAGGATAGAATAATTGGTGTCATGTAAGAATGAAACAGAATCTAATTTCAAAATGTTAAATTATATCAGCACCTTCGGGTTTTTTTTATCCATAAGCTAACTAACTGCTGCCTTAAGGCAGTGGTGTTTGTAAATTACTGGTTTTGTTTGACTCTTTAGATATATGTGAAAACTAGCACAGAATTGGAAGTTACTGTAAATGTCTGAACTAGTATTGTAGGTTTTAACTTCTATAAAGATAAAACAATAGCTCTTTAAAAGCTTATTTTTTCACAAGTACATTCTGTGTGGAAGACACTTTGCATTGAAATATTTTTTACTGTAGTCTAACATCTGAAATCACTTGCTCTGGTACAGCTTTCACACTGCATGTTCATTTTATTATATTTTGGTATTGGCAATTCTACACATTGGGTGGAGGTAAAGCAGCTCCATTATGGGACTTATTAAAAGGCGGGGGGGGGGAGAAAAAAAAGAACTACTGTTGTAGTTCAGTAGCATAGGGAAATATTTGTGGTTGGTAATTGTCAGGGTCTCCTATTTATCAGTACTTTTATAAATCTATGAAAATTGTTAAATTATTTTAGAAACTGCTGTAAATATGTCACATTTAAATTGTCAATAAATCAATTTGGGTAACTTAAAATAACAGCTGATTGAGTTTTCTTGCACCATGATAAATATTTTATCAGAACAATATATTCTTTTTTAGCACATAAGAGGTCAGATTATCTTGTATCCAGCTGTAATGTCTTTTTAATTCTTCCTGAGAAAGAAATCAAACAGAATGAGCTCGTTTTCTTTTACTGTTCTCAGTTTCTTCTGTGGGATTTTTACATGTTATGCAAGGGAGGTCAATCAGGTTTCTTTTTATTCAATGGCAGGGAAGAGATGATGCATGATAATGTCCGGCAAATGATTCAGAAACACTCAGGCACTGTCTGAAAGGCAAGAGAAAAAAAAACCCAGCAAAATGTAACATTCTTTTTTCTGGCATTATATTGTTGCATAACCAAGTTTCTCTCTCAAAAATGCTTTCCTGAAATAACGGCACCCGTAGGACATCTGGAAGCACCTCACTGTCTGTACATGTGAGAGACTGCATTTCTCAGGTCCTTTTTTGCCTTTTGTAAAGCAGCACAGTTAACTGGTCTGTCTCAAGAGTCTGCAAGCTTCAGATAAAGAACGGTAATCGAGTAAGATATATAGGCTGTACGCAGTTACCCAAATTCCAGTTTGACGGTGACATCATCTGACTGCGAGCTATTCCACGTACATACACACCTGCAGTTATATTACTATCGAATCATGCATGCTATTGCCCCAGCATCTTACTCTGGAACGTACGATGTCCGGAGGAGTCGCTGCACTGAGGGTCTTGAAGCTTCCATTTTAGCCAGTTGCACCACAGGCCAGAGTTGGTGTGAAATACGTACCTAATTGTACTTCGGTAGCCCAGCTCCAGTTAAGCTAGATGTTTTTAGCTTTACCGTAACATCGCTGGGTTCCAAAAGCAGCTTGATTGCAGCAGCGTGGACTTGATGTTTGAGTACGGTCCTTGGCATACCAAGTTAGATACCAATCTGTGTACGGCAATACAGTTTATTCTTCCTAGTAATAAATGTCAGAGTAAAATGCAATTACTGGCTGCAACTCCAACTTATTTAAAGGAGCTGAAAATACCTTTTCTAGTTCATCTATCTTACCACATGCATCACTGCTGCTTAGCTTTCAACATTTTAGCCTCTAAATATTTTCATAAACATCTTAAGTTACTTTTCACAGCCAATTGAGGGATCTGTCTTGCTACATTCTATCCTGCACATTTTCATTTGCCGTGTACTTCCTGTTGCCCCTTTACTGAAGAGAGAATTAAATTATTCTTTATGTTTATAGATTTAAATGTGTCATATTACAATAAGAAATTTACAGAAATGAAACTGTTAAATCTGCAATCCATGTGCCTGAAGGTAACTCCCAAAGGGTAATGGTCCAGAATATAGTTTAATAAACTGGCATATGCCTTAATCTCATGGAATCACAGGATGTCAGCACCACCTAGAGGTCATGCTCCAGCTTTGAAAATTATCTGTATTGGGCATTTACTTTCTGGGTATGTTTCAGAATTGTAAAAATCCATTCTGAAACTCTATTTAAGTCACTGGACTAATCAAAGGGTTTTAAAAAAACTCTTATGCCTCGTAAGCTTTGAATAGCAACGGCAGCAAATGGGTTGAAGATAAAACATCCCTTTCTGCCTGCTGCTGTTTACTAGTTTACTCCTGAGGAAGCTGTGATGTTCTAGGAAAAAAGGTGAATAACCTACTAACTCCAGTGAATAATGGAAGTGTGAGGCTCCTCATGATGCTACCGACTGTGGAAAGCAATTAAAGGCAATTGGAGGATAGTAAAGAGTAGTTGAAACAGAGGAAATTGAAGAACTTTAGAGAATCTGTTTTTTCATGCTACAAAGTAGCAAAACTCAAACCACACCATCAATGTCAACTGATGTTTTCCTATGATAAACTGGTATGACACAAACCTATTACTAAAAGGTAGCAATTCAGTCTGACAGCAGTAGCCTTTTCTTGAATGAAAAGCATGTATATATGTATGTTAGATGATTGTTTAAAATGTGCGCGGTCAAAACGTTAATTATTGCTTGAAAGACGTGTATGTCCAGCAGTGTAAGGCAGTAACTCTCTGTACTCAGAGGCTTTGAGCTGAGCTAGCTAACTTTCAATTACTGCAGCTTAAAATTCTGGAACGTACCTGGAAAACCAGTTGTCTCCAGCGACGCGGCTGGTCAGAAGGACCTTGAAAATGTCTCAACTGAGTGCAGTCTCTTCAGCTGCTGGAGGGGAAGGCAAGCGTCGCTGCTGCTCTTGGGAGGCAAAGTAACGCGACGCACAGATAGAAGTTTGGAGGTAGACCAGAGTAATTGGGGCAACAGATTGAAGGGGGAGACCTAACCGGTTCAAAACTTCATTCTTTCTCCTTACTGAGTTGCCATTTTAATTAATTTTACTTTTTGGCTTTTCAAACTTTGAAGTACTGCAATTATAGATTGAGCTAGGTTCAGAAGTCAAAAGTCTATATAGAAACGAGTTAAAAGTGGATACGGCATCACGCAGTCTCTCCTGTCGTAAAAAACCAGCTGAATTAGTAGAAAATGTTGATATTCAAAGGCTAATTTTTTAGGTCTTCCAGGAAGTCTACATTAGAATGGATGGAGAAATGAGTGAGCACACCAAAAAAGTGCACACTACAGGCATGGGACAGAAATGTTACTGTTCTTAGCCAGATTCCATATTTTTTCTTTGAGGTGGAAGAGAGAGAAGTAGTGAAAGAAGGGGAAATTGGGACAGGGTATTTTTAGTTTAAAAGTTAAAATGAAATAGAAAATAATTTGAAGCACTCTGTGCTATACATCATTTTACCTTTTATCATTTTTATTTAATGTCTTAATACTCATCTCTATGTTGGACCACAATCTATGTAACTACTTGCTGCTCCAAGCCAGTAAGCTGCTGAAGTACTTCTGAGATCTTCCATGGAAGTAATGAAGACTACT